ACAGATTAGAATGAACTAGATTAAATGATAAAAATAATATCAAATCACATAGAGTATACCAAATTTACCCTTTCCAAAAATTTTACCGTTTGTTATGTCTAATGTACATTATAAAGAAGTTCGTTATAGTAGGCCTCTAGTCTATATTCATAAACAAAATTAACACAATAAAATACAATTATAATTTGATCAAAGCTATAAAAGATTGTTAAGTTATAAAATTTGCACACAGGAAGATCAATCCAAGTACAACTAACACTTGTTATATGAGCTCTTGATATAGCGAAGATAATAAAGAGCTTTAAATTATGGAATTATTAAATTTCAATTAAATATATAGTATTCTCTGATATAAACTATTTTGAAAACTTTTTCAAGGATTTTATTATAATGAAAGTGAGTTTAATCACTTGTTTGTCATGTTTTCTTTGCTTATATTATCTATATGAAGGCCAGCTTTGTTTTTGATGAAGTAGTTGCATCAGAAAATAATTGAGATCAGGAGGTTGGAGAATCATATTACTAAGCCCTTGATTAATAATTTCATGAGTTTTTGATTAAGATCGTAATAAAATTGATCAGGATTATATTGGTAACAACCTATACAGACTGAGTAAAATCACTACTCATAGGAATTATATCGAATTTTGTACAGAAATCACATTCGCGTAATACTCTGCAAAAAACACAATTTACATGTTACTCATCCAATTTAGTTGAATCGATATACGTACGTACTATCGCTATACTGAAGGGGTCGTCTAAAGCGGAGCAAAATCATGTGACATCCGGCCGAAGCAAAACAAGAAATAAAAACGAAAAACTTGAAAAATAAAAAAACGGCAGTCTAAACCTACCTCGGATGGGTTAATTAAAAATGTCGGGAAGGCAATTTTGCTTATATATAACCACCTAAAACCAAACATAGCTCTAATATAAGATGACCCTAACCCTAAAGTTAATTCAATAATAGAGAGGTCTAAGTGGCTGCAATTATACTAAGCTTTTACATTGTGGCTCACCTTTGCTGTTTTCCATAATTCATCTTAATAATCTTCGGCAGACAAGCCTCATACCCACTAAGAATTAATATTGAGACGCGGTTGTCTTGATTCTTTGGAGACGTCACTTTTAGTCGTAATGCTACAAACCAAAAATCCTACCATTTTATATCGGGTATCTTATGTGAGATGAGAAACCCACAGATTGTCTAAGCTACCTATCATTACTCGAGTATTTATACACAAGATATGTAGGCTACATAGCATATGAAATTGCACAAGATAATTGGGTAATATTTTTACAAATATTCAAAACTTTCTCACTACACTTGTATTCTTAACACGAGTACAGCAATCATACTGCGTTCCTAGTTTAAGCACGATTACGTTGCGCAGTTACATACCCTGATTTTTATTTTAGACAATGTAAAATGCTTTCGATTTGTTAAATGATAGATCACCTTTCATGCCCAGCAAAAATACAAATCCGTTCGTTATAAAATTTTTTACTGGGAATTCGGGTTGTATGCCAATAAAATTTTTAAATAAAAGTTTTTATTGAAAAAATTTTTAAAAAAAATTAAAACCCGAATCGTCGGATGACTAAAGGTTAGTGAAAACCGATAGTAAAGATTTGTGTGGCCTTATGAAAAAATTGGTTCTTATGAGCCTATTAAACTTACGATTTGATAAAAAAAAAGTCATAAGATTGTAAAAAAAAAAAAAAAAAAAAATTAGACGAACACGATCAAATGGTTCTTTATATATTCAATCAACTTTAAATAATTTAAGTTTTTTCAAATTCAGAACAGCTTATTCACTATGACTTAGATCAACTCTAAGAGGTATGGTCTGATAGGTAAATAAAATTAGTGCAGTAGTGAAAAATACCCCAATCGTTATATCTAGGGATGGTAAAAAAACATTTTTCACCGTTTTAAAACATGTGATGCTGTGGTCAGAATATATTAAATTTTAAAAC